CCCTTTTAATAATTTTACATACATATCCTATGCTCACTCAAGACAGACTCGATGAGCTAATTACAGTGGTATGTGGGTCAGAGCTCTGGCCTCCAGAGCACCAGCCTTGTTGATTTTGGTGGTTACTCCTGATTTGCACCTGAATAATTGAGAAGGGAGTTGGGTTGTATGGGTTATAACTATTTAAAATGATAGTTTGGAGGAATATACAAGTGTGCAAACAAAACTTGAGGATGCAGCTTAGATTCCCTCACTTGTTCATAGCCTGCAGGCCTTTATTAGACCCTCCAGACTTTACCTAATTTTGGCATTATTCCCTCGTCATTACATCACGAATGTGGAGACAGGGTCATTCTCTCCTACGTTGTGGTCATGTAAGGGATTCACATGGTTTTGGTAGGGGGTAGACCATGTTTGAACAGGTTTCAGCTTTATTAAGCACCCTTGGCCAAGCTGGGGTTCACACTGGAAGATTCACTCTTACCAGATGGTAAATTTTACTCTCCCATCAGATGCAATATATGCTTTGAACTATGGAAATGTGCTTTGTCTTGGTTCATAGCACCAGAGTAACTAAACTGGAAAGCCACTCTCCATCACAGATGCTGTGATCCCAGCCTCAGTGTACTTGTACGTACATTCTTCTTCGTTAACTGGAAATGGATTCAAGTGCTGAGAATGGTTTCCCTGACTTTATAATTGCATCAGAAAAAAAAATGCAACAAAAGCAACAAAATCTCTGTCCCTTCTGAGAGCGTTTACCCCATGAAATCTGTTTTAACTGGCCTGCTTCAAGATGCCCATGAGCAGTGTAAGCTATAGTTTCTTTCTCTCTGCAGTTCCTTTTGCAGGATTTTCACCTGAAAAAAAAACCCAACCAAACAATGATGGATAGACTCAAAGTATCCAGTCCTTCAGCACTTTCCTTGTGTTTTCCCCTTTATCTCTTTATTTATCTGAAATGGGCTGGTGCTTAGGATTTTGTGATAGGTACATGTAAACCTTACACTTCTCAGGTGCCCTCTTTCTCCTTTCTTTCCTGGTGCTTTTCTGGCTCCCGTCCTCCCACTCCCAGGAAATATTTGAAAGATAATTTGGCATATTTTCTGCCACCTTCACATATCTCCCTGACTTCATGTTTTCTTAGCTGGAAGATAGCTTTTCAACATATATATGTAACCCTTTTCACCTAGACATGTGAGGAATTCCAATCTCTTCCAGTGGGAGTTTTCAGGAAGGTTTAGGTTAAATGGGCCAATAAGGCAAAAGCATGTAGCAGAAGATCTCACCCTCTAAAGACATCTTTTCTCTTTCGTTCTTTCCCCTCCCCTTCCCTGGAAAATATATCAGAATATCTAGCTGGCAAAGAATTTAAACAATAATACCTGATCTGAAGGCTAGACTGCAGGGCTTTTGAAAATAAAGATTGTAATCTCTCTATGGTGTATCCAGGGACTAATGGAGCTGCAAGTCAGGTGTTCTGAGCAGCAGACTGCTGTGGGGACACTGCTCTGCCTTGGTGGGGGCTTGTTTTACCTGAGTTCTAAAAGGGAATTCTCTTGGATTTTCCTTGGTGCTTTTGTTGTGGCCATAGCATCTTTATCACAGAGATGAGGCAGCAAGGCAAGTCCAGTTTACATTAATTTAAATCCTATTGGAGGTGACTGAACTTTTCTCCTGCTGCCTGTGAGTGGGCTGGGAGACCTTCTGCTGGGCCAGCCTCCATCCCCCAGAAACTCTTTTTGCAGTGTTCAAGGCTGGGATTCATCCCATCTGATTTTAGCTGACTAGATCTGTTGTGCAAGGTCCCTGTCTGGGCCCCTGAGAGAATTTAGGGAGATGCCTGTTGTAAAAAGGAGAATCAGCTGTAAGGGGTGCCTTAGGCTGGAAGCCAACGCGGTTATGAACCCAGCCTTAAAGCTACACTGATCTCTCTTGTAGGAAAGGTCAAGGATCCCTAGAAAAAAAGAAAATGTTTCCAACATCTTAAGACTCAGATTTTTCAGAAGTGGGTGCCTATGGGTGGCCTTAGCCTCTACATCAGCAGCTGGGGTCACAGTGAGGAGCAGACAGCATCTGCTGAACCTTTTTCCTTCTGCTCCCCACTTGGAGACATTGGGTGCAGGATGATCTCTGGGGCTCCCAAGCCTCCTCGGGGTGCTGGGGTATTTATTGCTGTGGGTGTCGCACTGGATGCTTGCCCATCCGCTGCTGCTCTGTCTGTGCTGTGGCACTAGCCCGGGAGGGATCTCGGCACTGGCGTACCTTTGCAGCCTGCAGGAAAGGTGACTTCCATTTAGTTCTAAATTATGACATTATTTTATTAGATCTTTAAACTTTATTTAAATTCTTTATTTAAAAAGGGGGAGGAAGGTATCATATTTTAATTAGTAGCGGTGTCAAAGGAGACCTAGATTAATTATTTGAAATCACTCCATCCAGATGGTTTTAATTTTCACAGCAGGGAACCGGCATCTTTTTAAGGTGATATTTTTCAAATTAAAATCAGCTTGGATATTACTCATACTGGCTGCAGAGCGCGGGGGTGGGGAATGCAGGCCAGCATGCCCCGTGTTTGTCCATCTGAGCGCGGGCAGCCAGTGAGGACCTGTGTTGGAGAGGTGCAGGTTGCCAACTCTCCATCAGGACTGCAGCTCAAGGCTCTTGCGTTGGAGTGTTTTATCAATGTTAGCTCCTCCTTCGGCTGGCCCAAAGCAGTATCTGGTATTCAACATTATTCTTAGCAGCTCTAGGCACAGCACTGAGACTGGAATGGATGGGGAATGCCTTGCAGCTTAGACCGGAGCTTGCAGTGTCCTGTTCTTACCTGTGTGCAAGCTGGGGAGCCCTCGCTTGACCCCTCTAGTGGGTGGATTCAACACTGTAGATCTGTAGGCAACTCCTTGGCGATCTGGGTGTTGACTGTGGTTCTTGGGGCAATCTTTGGGACCTTTTGTGCTGGCTCCATAACCACCCCTCATGTGCAAGCTGTTGCTCTCCCCCTCTGAGACTGACCATGAGTCCTCTGCTCATGTGAGAGGAGGACCTTTCACAGGCATCTATTTAAAGGTGGTCATACTTTGGCTATTCCCTTGTCTATTAATCCTGTGTTGCATCTGAGCAGCCTCCCTGAACTTCTTGGAGCAGTAGGCCTTTACCAAGTTCTATACCATGTTGGCCAGCCACCCCTTGAAGACCTGTCTTTGACCCTGTGCCATCTTTCTCCATCCTGACTTGGCTCATCTTGATATCCTTTCTATGATGGGATATTTCTGCTTCATGTGGCCCTTCCTCACTTAAGTGGTCAGTGGTTTGATACCACCTTGGCAGGTGGGGAGAGAAAGCCTGCAGAACCCAGTTGTCACTTGCAAGATGCTCTCCATCACAGATACCCCAAACCATGGTGCATTTCTAAAAGATAAATATATGTATTTATGCATGATTGCAAGTAATGTTCTGCTGTAATACGGATGTTATCCCACTTGCTGTCAGAAAGAAGTTATTCTTTAAATATCCTCTCTGATAACAGGTTTAACAAATATATCTAAATAAATGTAAGCAGCTAGTAACTGGAAAATCCTGAACTTGCATATGTGACTGAGCTGCAAAGGGAAAACTCCATTTAAGGCCCTTGTGAGTTAAAGGTTTGTGATATTTGCACTGTTGCAGAAGCCAAAAGTTGACTTTACAAGTGGGAAAAATATTAATGTGTTTAAATGAAACAAACTCCTATTTCTATTCCCATGGTAAATCCTTACAGTGAACATATTTGCTCTTAGAGGGTTTTAAAGTTTGAAATATGAATGCCAAAAAGAATGTGACTTTTTGCAGCACAGATCAAACATTCTCCAGAGTTTGGCAAAAGCCATGTTTCTACAGTAAGGCTCGGGTCTTACAAGCGTGAGTATTTCCAGAGCAGGACCGTGGATTTGCACTTGCTGACACTTACACATTCTTGCATTGTGTTTTGACCATGTCTCGCTTTCTCCCGCTCCATATCAGAGATGGATCTGAACCAGAATGTCCATTCTGCCTGTTCCTGCCTCTCCAGGGAAATTCCTGGAATCTGAACCTTGAGCATGACTGGAATTTGTATTTAGATCAGAGATGGAATAAAACGCTGAATTTGGACGTGTCTAAATTTTCAAGATGGTGATGGCATGCTACGCATCTGGGTGGCAGCTCAATCACTCCTCCAAAAACACCCAAATTGTGTTAGGGCAGGTCCTTTATGAAGATGGAGCAGAAATCTGCCCTCTACCGTGGCTTCTGACAATGCTGCAGGCCAGCTCTGGCCTCAGTAAGCCTGCAAGGTGCTATGAGACTGGCCGTATTTCTCCCAGCTAGAGCAGGAGTCACGGACTTGGACTGTCAGAAAGCCATTAGTGACCTCCTGGGAACATAGCTAGACACACTGAGGATGTCTGCAGGGAGGGTGTTGATCAGACAGAACAAGCAGCGCTGAATTTCTCCCCTGCTAGCTGTTGTGGTGATCTTCAGGAGATCACTGTGATGTTTTGCACCATGAGCGTGTGGCAGTACCACTTCTGTGTAGTGTTTCAGGGCTGCTGGCTGTGGGGAAAAGACTTTCATTCTTGTCATGCTAATCTTTTATCTTCATGAGAATAAAATCCATGTTCTTACCTTCCAAGAACCCTCCTGCAGCCTGAAGGAGAGCATTAGCAGCAAGCTTTGTATTGCTGATGGGGAGGTGGGGTTGGTGTGGACAGATGGAACACACACGTGTATATGATACTCTGTGCTAAGCTGGCATTAAATCTGGAGCCTCTGCGTAGGAGACGATGGAGACATGTCAGACCTACACCTGCGACCAAGCCTGGAGCTCAGCCCCTGGGTGGTTCCTTGGGTGGTTCCTTCATGGAGCATCCCAGCATGGTGTGGGTCAGGTAGAGGTAATGGGACAATGCACTGATGAGCTTCGCATGCTCCGACTTAACGGGACCACATTGATAAATGTTTTTTTCTTCTTCCTTTACAAGCCCAGCTTCTAGTGGAAACAGACACTTTTGGCAGTCAAGTCCGGATCAAAGGGAAGGAGACAGACTTCTACCTTTGCATGAACAGGAAAGGCAAGCTAGTGGGGAAGGTAAGTGTTTCCTATTAATTCATTTGTAACATGAGTGTTACCTTTAGCAGCCTCCTCAAGGCTGTAATGATGTGTGCGAGCTTCGCCTGTCAGCCTCAAATGAAAAGCAGGACGGAGGGGATGTGGGGCTTGCAAGGCCCTGCCCGAGCCCTCCCCCACATCCATAAAATTGAGCTCCTGAGCCAGCCCTGGGATTCTCTGATGGTGCTTCGGATGCGGATGGGTTTGAGCTTTACAGTTGCATTAAATTGATGTGAGGTGTCACCTCAGCATCCCAGCGTCGTGGCCACCTCCACAATAACTTTGTTACTTGATCTTTCTATGGAGGGAAATTCTAAATAAAATGACAAGTGGAGCACTGTGCTGAGGAGGTTGGTTAGTGCTGGGGAGGTAGGCAACATAAGGCCCCTTTCAGCGGTGAGCCAGGGGATGGTGTGGCAGAGCTAATACTGGAATCCGAACATTGTACTGGGGCTGGGCCTCACGGTTCTAGCGTTACAGGAATATTTTATTACTTTGGATCCCTGCACAATGGAAGCATGTAACAAATTACAGCATATTCACCCATCTAGCTTAACTTCTTTGCTGAAGTCATATTTTTTATGTATTAACTTGTTTTTGTAATTTAGGCAGTTCTTCTGTATTGTTGGCAAACTTAGAGGCTTACTAACCAGGCAGGAGCTTGCTCAAAGCTAAAATATCACCAAAAAATAAATGTAAAATAAAATACCTCAGCACTGAAAAATCCCCTCCTCCACTGCCTGCACTTTGCACCACCAGAAATTAAAATCTGGTTTCTCTGTGGCTGTGAAAAAGGGAAGCTGAGTTTTGTTTTGAGTCAACACAATGAAAGACATGCTCCCAAACAGAAACCAGAAACCAAATTGCTCTGATGAAACATTATTTACTTTTGTGGTCCCGAGAGTGACACTTGTGGGACAAGTGCCTTCCCCGGAGGATCCCTCCTGCCACTTTTGTTTTCCTCACGAGCAATGCAGATGCTTCTGTTGAGACTAAGCGCAGATCTTTCGCAGGCAGCCGCTAGCCGTGGCAGCCTGCCTGACCCGCTGTGGGGCTGCTTTGGCAAAGCAGGCAGCATCCAGGATGCTGCTCGAAGTCGGTGAGGACTTGGAAATCGATGCTCTGGGAGGACTGGACCAAAGCGACTCATTCTCTCTGCTTCCAGCACTTCTGTAGTGCAATACTGCTCTGAATGAGACACTGTTGTTTGATACTGGACAAGGAAATCTGTTTTTTAACCAGATTTAGACCTCTCACATGAATACTTTTGAAGATTGTACTGAACACAAACCTGTCCTTTGAGTATTTTTTTTTTTTGTGCCACGATTTTGCATCCTTTAAATGTGTTAATAGTATTTTTCCCTGAAATGTTATGAGGATGATTTTGTTAATGTTTATGAGGTGCTGATGCCACAGTAATGGAGACCTTAGAAGCATTCAAATTAGAAAGGGTAAAATGAGCATGAAATCTTACCTTTTTCTTTAATAGACCTTACCCCAGGATGGATCAGCTGTGGTACACAGTGCAACACACATCCTTTCCTGGTCTACACTGAGTGTCCAGTGAAGTCAGAGGCTGTTTTTCAAAGCATATAGTATATTCTGGCAAGATTCCTGCCTTGATTTGGCCCATTAGGCAACAAGGCAGGATAGTTCTTCAGCTTATCACCTTTCATGCAGTGTAAAGCATTTGGGGTTTTTTTCTTGATGTTCTTTTCATAAAGTTAGGTTGGCAAATGGTTTGTTATAAAAAAAGTAAACAAATCTATTCTTGTAAATATGAGCCTTCCCACCTCAGACTGCTGACAAGTTCACAAACCAGCCGACCTGAGCAGGAGTGGGTATGGAGCATGGCGTTTGGAAGGAAAATGTTCCAGACTCTTTGCCCATATTAACAGCTTCTCATGAGCAAAAAAAGAAAATAATAGCACGTCTTCCTGATACCAAAGAGTGTGGTTTTAATTAGTATCATAGTTCAGCTCTTTTTGTGGCAAGAGTTTGAGGGAATGCTTTTTAGCTTGAATGCTCTAAACAGCTAGTAAACCCCAAGGAAAACATTAGATAAAAGTTACGCCTGGGCTTATACAAATATTTAAGTTCAGTCTGGGGGTGGAGGGGAAAGAAACCCATAAACTGATTGTTTCACAGTTGCCCCGGTATGTTCATTTGGCAAGAGAGGAGCCATGGGACCAAACTGAATCTTTTTCTCTGCTCATTTCCTATTGCCTTACACTGCATAATCCCTAACAATACCAGCATATGCCATCTGGCTTTGTTCTCCTCCTCAGTCAGCAGTTTTGGATCCCCCCCCAGTTGAAAACCTGCTTTGAATTTAGTCCTTTTTGTTTCCCATAATCACCTACAAAGGGTATTACAGACTGGAGCAGGTTGTTGTTGTTTGCAGCTGGAACTAGTGACAAATGCAAGAGCTCCAGAGATGGGGCTTGCTCCCCGCCTTGGAGCTGGTTGTGTTGCAGGCAAACAGGCTAACCCACAGGACTGAGAAGAGCAGCCTTTGTGTCTTTTTAATTAATTAATTTATTTAATCAGAAGTTGCACCTAAGCCAGCGTTTCTGAGGTTTTTCAGGTCATCTGATGGAGCTTTCTCAGGAGCCCCAAACCTTGTGTTTTCTCCCTCGCTTGGTTGTTACCCCATGTGTGTTCACAGCCACCATTGGCCAAAGGGCTTGGAGTTGTTTTGGGCAGGTTTCTAACTTTATTTATTATCACAGCATACAACTGCTGAGGTCTCCGATGCTCTACGTGCTGCTTATGAAAACTGGAGACAGGACAGGTGTTATACAGAGAGTGACTTTTCTGTCTAAGGCAACCAGCACCGGTGGAAAACAAATTGGATTGTGTTTTTTCATTGACTCTTGGTGTTATGTTGAAGAAGGCCCAAGAAACATTTCTTTATTTTTTGACCGTATTTTTTTGTCTGTGAGCTTTTGGTGTCTCCGTATACACATTTAGAAATTGTAGGTCCTGAGTTTTCTGACTTTGCTGAAGTTTTCTATGGACCACTGAACGTTATCATAGAATAGTTTGAGTCGGAAGGGACCTTTAAAGGTCATCTAGTCCAAGCCTGCCTGCAGTGAGCAGGGACATCTTCAACTAGATCAGGTTGCTTAAAGCCCTGTCCGACTGGACCTTGAATGTTTCCAGGGATGGGGCATCTACCACCTCTCTGGACAACCTGTGCCAGTGTCTCACCACCCTCATTGTAAAAAATTTCTTCTTTATATCTAGCCTAAATCTACCCTCTTTTAGTTTAAAACTGTTACACCTTGTCCTATAGCAACAGGCCCTGCTAAAAGGTTTATCCCCGTCTTTCTTATAGACCCCCTTAAAGTATTGAAAGGCCGCAGTGAGGTCTCCCTGGAGTCTTCTTTTCTCCAGACTTTTTGGTGGAGTTATATTACAAGGAGAGAGACTAAAATATGAGAACTCAGAAGAGGAATGCTACGTGCTTTTCTTAAAAACTTTATCTTTTAAAGTTATTGTTCCTGTTTGTTTCTCCAAGGCTTCTTACAAACATGGGGGAGAAGGGGATTCTGAAAGGTTCAGCTCTGCTTCCAAGGAGAGGTGCAATGTGACTTGTCTGCTTGTGACAAGGCACAACTTTACCAGTCACCTAGAATGCAAGAACTCTGAATATTTGCAGTAATTCAGTGTTAGGGGAGGAGAGGAGATAATGGTCTCTTCGGAGGAGCTCTGAGTTTCTAACTGTGATTCTCCTGGGGAGTCCTTCTGTGATTTTTCTGTCTGTCTCAGCTTCTCTTATCTCATGCACTGAGATAAGGACATCAATATAGAGGTGACCTGATGTTTGTAGAAGACTATCAAAGGTAAGTCTTTTAAGTCTCCGTAGCAAGGAATAGTGTGAGCAGGTGGCTGTTAATTAGTTTGGCCACCTCTAACTGCCTTGCTGAGTCTGTCCTTACATCAAATCCATGCTCTCTAGAATTACAAGACACTGCAGAGATTTTCTTTTCCTGCTGTGACCCAGTCCCCTTGTCAGGAGAGCATTTGCAAGCAGTCAGTGATCTCTGTGAAGCTCAAATTGGATCTGTCAGCACCATTACAAGTTGACCAAAGCCCTGACCCTTCCTCTAGGCACTGCTAGGGCTAGTGGCTGGTACATGGTGATCAGAGCATCTCCTAATCCCCAGGCACTGTTACTAGGGAATTTCCGGTGGTTCTCTACCAGCCACGCATGGGATCATACAGTCTCATCGACACTAGTGCTCAGGAGAGCAAGTCAGGAGAATATTTTGCGCTCCCAGCTATACAGGGAGAAGAGAGAATAGGCCTGTTTTTCTGGACTGACCTTGGCTTCCTGCAAAGCTGGCAAGTGGGAGGTGAGGCTGGTTATTGCAGTGGCGAGGGAGACTTCAGTTTTCAGAGCAAGGTATAGAGGCAGGGAATGTAAGTAATGACTGGAAGGAATCCAGAAGATTTGAGAAGAATGGGAAAAGAACTAAGCACATCTTTGATTTGATCCAGAAGTTTCTTCAGAAGATGCTCCAAGCAGTCCCACTAATGTTCTTCCATGGCATTAGGTGGATTACATCTTTTCCAGATCCAGCAGCAATATTGTTCCCTGATGGTTTCATTTTGAGAACAGCTCCATCTCTCAGTGTGTTAAAACACTCCTGGAGCTCTTCCAGGACAGAGAAGCAGGTGGTGGGTGCTGGAGCCATCTTCTTAGGGTGGGATGGGACTCAAAGTGCAGGTGGAGTTGGGGCAGCATGGTGACTGTCAGTTGTGTCCTGTGCTCCTGTGTAATGCTGCTCCACATAATAGGGCTGTAATCTTGAAACTGTGAGCCTGCAGGAGACTCCTATACCACTGTAAATGGGTAGGTTCTTTTGAGGTAGGATGTGGCTACAGATAAAACTCCAGAAATAGGGGCAAGGTTAGAAAAGTGATAGAATGGGGTCTGTCACAGGTATCACCCCTGCCAGCTCTACAGAAAG